GTGTTTTGTCACAGGGATGAAAGATCAGCTAACACAGCCTCTCAGAAAAGTGTGGGAGAATAAGAGGCTTCTCTGGGAGATCCAGAGCTGGCGTCTGTTGTCCTCTCTGACCAGAAGTATATCATGTAGGTCATATGTGCTAGAACCAATTAGAAATCAGAATTCTGTAAACAGAATTTTGCAGTTCCTGGGCAAATAGCATTTAAGTTCTATCATGTAGACAGCACCAGTTGTCTTTGAAATAAAGCAGAGGGTGGGATGAAGGTGTGCACACCACAAGGTACTAGATGGTATGTTGGATACTAGAAAAACCTGCAGTGATTTTATTTGTTTAAGTTGAGATAAAAGTTCTGAGATAATTGCTTTGTTGACAGTTTGTACTGGCACCTGGATCCTTGTTCCTGGCATACTGATCATAAATGCCTCTGGCAGGAAAGCGTGCAGGCCCAAATAAGAAAGATCGTCCCTGGTGCTTGAACTCTCTTGCTGGCTTTGTGAGATAGTTCCCTTTGTATGTACTACTGAAATGGGACTCTTACAGTTTAAAAAGATTAGGAAAAAATAAAAATGAATTGAAGATAAGAGTACTGTAAGCAGGAGCTACAATGATTTGTTATTGCGGACACTTGGCTGGTTAAGCAGTTCTTGAGCTACTTGATGAGTTAAAATAATGATCAGTTTGGATGTATTCAAATAAATCATAGTTAAAAGACAATTAAATATGACTCTTGTCCTAAACATATGGTATATATCTTGAAATGTTAGCTGTTGTAATATAAATTTTAAGAATTAATGAGACTTTAAAAACTGAAAATTCTGAGTATATAAACAACTACAATTTTACTAGCAATTTATTTTAAAAGAAACTTAAATTACATTCTAAAATTTCACAAAATCTGCTGCAGTTAACCCTTGACTTACAAACTCACTTCACTCATGAGAGCTGGCTATAATTTAAATTGATTGTAAATCAAGACTACTGTTCCCATAAGAAATAATGGAAATATGGATAATGCATTCCAAGCCCCCCAAAGCACCCCTAAACTAAACTTTTCATAATAAAAGGACTGGGTAATATGGGTAATTTACCAGAAACACCAATAAATTTCCTAGTATATTCACCAAAAAGTTATAAAATTTGCCTAGTTTGCCAGAAACAACAGTTTTATACTGTATTCAGCATTCAAGTGTACATCTTTGGCTTGCAAGAAGGAAGGATGAAATG